GTATTACACTACTATACTGCAATAGTATTAGTAATATTATATATAATATAGAATTATTATACCACAACACATATACCACCAGTATACTATACTATTAGTATTATATAATACATTGTACTATATCATAAGTTGTAGTATCTCTGTCCCACCTGCATCACATTGTACTATATCATAAGTTGTAGTATCTCTGTCCCGCCTGCATCACAGGCGCGCTTGGCGGGGACGAGAGACAGGTCCTTCTCAGTGGTGGCCCCTTGGCTATGGAACGCCCTGCCTGCAGATATCAGATTGGCCCCCTCCCTGCTGGCGTTTTGGAGGAAAGTGAAGACCTGGCTGTCTTCACTTTCGAACAAGCATTTGATTAAACAGTGTAATTGAACATAGGAATACGGAATAATGGATGATGAGACTGGATTCTGATTTTACTGTTGAGGTGCTAATGATTGTTATATGGATGTTTAATGATTTATGTTACAATTCTTTTTAATTGACCTATACTTGTTCGTGATGTTTTGTATTGATGTTGTTCACCGCTTTGAGTCGCCTGAGGGCTGAGAAAAGCGGTATATAAATAAAGTAAATAAATAAATATATATTATCTATACTACAACTTATGATATAGTACAATAATATAATTTATATTAAGGGTCCCCTGGTGGCTCAGCGGGTGAAACCGCTGAGCTGCTGAACTTGCTAACTGAAAGGTTGGTGGTTCGAATCCAGGGAGTGGGGTGGGTTCCTACTATTAGGCACAACATCTGCCAACCTGGCAGTTTGAAAACATGCAAATGCAAGTAGATCAATAGGTACCACTTCTGCAGCATGGTAATGGCACTCAATGCAGTCATGCTGGCCACATGACCTTGGATGCATCTATGGGCAATGCTGGCTCTTGGGGCTTAGAAATGAAGATGAGTACCAGCCTTCAGAGTTGGACACAACTAGACTTAATCTCAGGGGAAATGTCTACTTTTACTAATATATGATATTACATTATTATTATTATCATTATATAATATATTAGTAGTATTATATTACAATGTTATTGTAGAGTTTCGCTTATCCAACATAAGCGGGCCAGCAGAACATTGGATAAGCGATATGTAGTAATTACTGTATTGACGAATTTAGCATCAAAACATCACAATGTATTTAAACAGCTATAGATGTGGGTAGGAGGAAGACTGCATTGGATAATACAGAACATTGGATGAGCGAAGGTTGGATAAGTGAGGATCTACTGAATATAATTGTCTTGCATTGTCTTTATAGAAACTTTTTTTTTCAGAGCAAGAGAGTTTTATTTTACACGAAAACAGTGCTGACGATACTTAAAAACTCTTAATATACCATAGCTACATTTAGGATTTTAATTTGGGCATAAAATTTTGCCTTTAGCAGAATCTTTCATACTGCTGATGTCAATATGCTCTGCAGGGACCTCCCTGCCTCAATGGCACAAGTGTGATGAGGAATACAGCTAATAAGAAATTAAAAGCAACCCAAACTGATGCTGCCAGGCTTTGTGATCAGCAGGCCATGGTCCACACCTAAGTAAATATAGCACCAGGTACTTCCTAAAGTCTTGATGTGTGTTGAAAGATACCCAAAAACATAAACTTATATAGGCAAAAGCAACCCAAACTGATGCGGTCAGGCTTTGTGATCAGTGGGCCATGGTCTATTGCAAGGTCAATATAGCACCAGGTACTTCCTAAACTCTTGAAGTATACCAAAAGATGCCAAAAAAAAAAAAAACACATAGGCAAAAGCCACCCAAACTGATGCTAGCTGGCTTTGTGATCAGCAGGCCATAGTCCACGCTTAGATAAATATAGCATCAGGTACTTCCTAAAGTCTTGATGTGTGTCTAGAGATGCTCCAAAAAAGAAACTTATATAGGCAAAAGCAAACCAAACAGATGCCACCAGGCTTTGTGATAAGCAGGCCGTAGTCCACACTTAGGTCAATATAGCACCAGGTATTTCCTAAAGTCTTGATGTGTACCAAAAGATGCCCAAAAATTAAAATTATATAGGAAAAAGAACCCAAACTGATACTGCCTGGCTTTGTGATCAGTAGCCCATAGTCCACGCCTAGGTAAATATAGCACCAGATACTTCCCAAAGTTTTGATGTGTGTTTAGAGATGCAACAAAAATAAACTTATATAGTCAAAAGCAACCCAAACCAATGATGCCAGGCTTTGTCATCAGCAAGCCATGGTCCACCCCTAGGTAAATATAGCACCAGGTACTTCTTAAAGTCTTGGTGTGTGTCTAGAGATGCCCCCAAAAATAAACTTATATAGGCAAAAGCAATCCTAACTGATGCTGCCTGGTTTTGTGATTAGCAGGCCATGGTCCACGCCTAGATAAATATAGAGATGCCCCGAGAAATAAACTTATACAGGCAAAAGCAACCCAAACCGATGATGCCAGGCTTTGTCATCAGCATGCCATGGTCCACACCTAGGTAAAGATAGCACCAGGTACTTCCTAAAGTCTTGAGTTGTATTGAAAGATACTCAAAAACATAAACGTATATAGACAAAAGCACCCCAAAACGATGCTGCAAGGCCTACGCCTAGGTAAATATATCACCAGGTACTTCCTAAAGTTTTGATATGTGTCTAGAGATGCTCAAAAAAATAAACTTATATAGGCAAAAGCAACCCAAACTGATGTTGCTAGGCCTACGCTTAGGTAAATATAGCACCAAGTTCTTCCTAAAGTCTTGATGTGTACCGAAAGATGCCCAAAAAAATAAACTGATATGTAAAAGCAACCCAAACTGATCCTGCCAGTCTTGGTGATCAGCAGGCCATGGTCCACACCTAGGCAAATATAGCACCAGGTACTTCCTAAAGTCTTGATGTGTGTCTAGAGATGCACCAAAAATAAACAAAAATAGCAGGCCATGGTCCACGCCTAGATAAATATAGAGATGCCCCGAGAAATAAACTTATACAGGCAAAAGCAACCCAAACTGATGATGCCAGGCTTTGTCATCAGCATGCCATGGTCCACACCAAGGTAAAGATAGCACCAGGTACTTCCTAAAGTCTTGATGTGTATCGAAAGATACTCAAAAACATAAACTTATATAGGCAAAAGCAACCCTAACTGATACTGCTAGGCCTACGCCTAGGTAAATATAGCACCAGGTGCTTCCTAAAGTCTTGATGTGTGTCTAGAGATGCTCAAAAAATAAATTTATATAGGCAAAAGCAACCCAAACTGATGTTGCTAGGCTTACGCTTAGGTAAATATAGCACCAAGTTCTTCCTAAAGTCTTGATGTGTACCGAAAGATGCCCAAAAAATAAACTGATATGCAAAAGCAACCCAAACTGATGCTGCCAGTCTTGGTGATCAGCAGGCCATGGTCCACACCTAGGCAAATATAGCACCAGGTACTTCCTAAAGTCTTGATGTGTGTCTAGAGATGCACCAAAAATAAACTTATATAGGCAAAGGCAACCCAAACTGATGATGCCAGGCTTTGTGATCAGCAGGCCATGGTCCACCCCTAGGTAAATATAGCACCAGGTACTTCTAAAAGTCTTGATGTGTGTCTAGAGATGCCCCCAAAAATAAACTTATATAGGCAAAAGCAATCTAAACTGATGCAGACAGGCTTTGTGATCAGCAAGCCATGGTCCACGCCTAGATAAATATAGAGATGCACCGAAAAATAAACTTATATAGGCAAAAGCAACCCAAACCGATGATGCCAGGCTTTGTCATCAGCATGCCATGGTCCACACCTAGGTAAAGATAGCACCAGGTACTTCCTAAAGTCTTGAGTTGTATTGAAAGATACTCAAAAACATAAACTTAATATAGGCAAAAGCAACCATAACTGATGCTGCTAGGCCTACGCCTAGGTAAAGATAGCACCAGGTACTTCCTAAAGCCTTGATGTATATCAAAACATACTCAAAAACATAAACTTATATAGGCAAAAGCAACCCAAACTGATGCTGCAAGGCCTATGCCTAGGTAAATATAACACGAGGTACTTCCTAAAGTCTTGATGTGTGTCTAGAGATGGTCAAAAAATAAACTTATATAGGCAAAAACCACCCAAACTGATGCTGCTAGGCCTACGCCTAGGTAAATATAGCGCCAGGTTATTCCTAAAGTCTTGATGTGTACCGAAAGATGGCCAAAACATAAACTTATATAGGCAAAAGCAACCCAAACTGATGATGCTAGGCCTACGCCTAGGTAAATATAGCACCAGGTACTTCCTAAAATCTTGACGTGTACCAAAAGATGCCCAAAAAATCAACTTATATAGGCAAAAGCAACCCAAACTGAAGCTTTGTGATCAGCAGGCCATGGTCCACGTCTAGGTCAACATAGCACTAGGTACTCCCCAAAGTCTTGATGTGTGTCTAGAGATGTCCGAAAACATAAAGGTATATATGAGAAGAGCCTGTTGTGACTTCCACGTCCTGGGAGTTCTTCCTTTCAGCCTGTATCAAGTTCGCTGAAACAAACTAGTTACATAACCTATTCTTTTTCACTTATGACCTATTTCTTATAGGAAGCCGGGGATACTTTGGTGTTACATTCTGGAAAGTTGTAACAACATTGCTTTGCCCAGATACAATTTTTCACAGAGCTGTTTCCTTTTGAAATTTTGTGTTTTGAAATTATCTAGAGTAGGTTTGGGCCAAGTTGGGTCTTCTGGGTGTTTTGGACTCCGACTCCGACTTTTCCCCCTCAGCCGCTTAAGCGGCTGAGGGGGAAAAGGAAGGGGCCTGAGGCTGTTAGGAATGGTGGGAGTCGGAGTCCAAAACACCTGGAGGGCCCAAATTGGCTCAGGCCTGCTCCAGAGTCAACCATATCTTCTCTGTAACTTTCCACCAYCCACAATSAGTTGGCATAGGTCTCTTAAGAGAGAGAGACAGACAGACAWGAGGAGGGGAGGGGTCTCCTGTCACCTTTCCCTCTCTGATACAAAGAAGTTGATGTTGGCAAAAGGGACTCACCGCCGCTTTATTTTCCTCCGCCCTGCATTGAATCCACAGCCTTGGAAGCTCTCGGGAGGAAGGACGGAAGGGCCCAGGGTTGCTGCTGGCCTGGAGAAGTTCTCTTACATGTCAGGAGAAAAGCCAAAGGGAAGGAAGGAGGCAGGGATTGAATTGAGAAAGAGAGAGAGAGAGAGAGAGAGGAGAAGGCGAATGGCAGGCTCAGCCCTCCCTGCGATCAGCCATATTCCTCTCCCAAAGCAAACAGGGCTCCAGTTCGAAGGCTGCCTCCGTCTCTCTTCTCTCTTTCTCTCTCTCTCCCCCAGGTTCTGCCTTTGGGACTCTCTGCGTCCAGGTCCGGCTCCAAAGAAAAGGGGGATTGCCTTGCAAAGCCTTGCAAAGGCCCCCCGACCGCCTGGCAACTTCGGGTCCCCGGGCTGGCCCCCTCCCACGCAGACACAACGCCAGCCTCCAGCCGCCGGAGGAGGAGGAGGAGAGGAGGAGGAGGAGAAGGGGAGGAGAGAAAGAAGAGGGAGGGAGGGAGGGAGGGAGGGAGGGAGAAGGGCTGGAGAAAGTAGATCCGACTATTCCGATTGCCACGGCGGTGCGGGCTGGATTCCCCACGCAGAGGATCCGGATTCGGGCCAGCCCCAGCCAGGCTCGCTTGGGGAAAGAAAGGCATTAACTCCTTCCAGACCAGGCAGAGGACAAGGGAAGCCACAGCCAGGGAACAAGAGAAGATCCTCTTTTCTGTTGGCTCCTTGAAGGCGAGGGGCTCCTGGGCACCACCACTGAAGAGAGAGATTGACAAGCTGGAATGTGTCCAGAGGAGGGCGACTCAAATGATCAAGGGTCTGGAGAACAAGCCCTAGGAGGAGCGGCATAAAGAGCTGGGCATGTTTAGCCTGAAGAAGGGAAGGCTGAGAGGAGATATGATAGCCATGTATAAATATGTGAGAGGAAGTCACAGGGAGGAGAAAGCAAGCTTGTTTTCTGCTGACCATGGGACTAGGAAGCGGAACAATGGCTTCAAACTACAAGAAAGGCAATTCCATCTGAACATTAGGAAGAAATTCCTGACTGTGAGAGCCGTTCAGCAGTGGAGCTCTCTGTGTGGTGGAGGATCCTTTTTTTGGAGGCTCTTAAACAGAAGCTGGATGGCCATCTGTTGGGGATGTTTTGAATGCAATTTTCCTGCTTCTTGGAAGGGGGTTGGACTGGATAGACTCAGATAATCCAGTTCAAAGCAGATATTGAGGATTATCTGCCTTGCTATTATGGGTTATATGGCTGTGTGGAATGGCCTAGTGTCAAAATCCCATGTGGCGGCCAAAAAAACCAATGGGATTTTGGCCTGCATCAATAGGAGTCTAGTGTCTAGATCTAGGGAAGTAATATTGTGTCCAATTCTGGGCACCACCATTGAAGAGAGAGATTGACAAGCTGGAATGTGTCCAGAGGAGGGTGACTCAAATGATCAAGGGTCTGGAGAACAAGCCCTATGAGGAGCGGCTTAAGAGCTGGGCATGTTTAGCCTGAAGAAGAGAAGGCTGAGAGGAGACATGATAGTGCCATAACAGGCCTGTAGCGAGAGGCCTGTAGCGAGGGTTCAACCCCCCCCCGAAATTTTTCAGGTTAAAAAAAAATAAACCTGGTTTACTCATGAATTTTAACTGGTTAACCAAATCCCCATGCTAAGTCTATGAGACGCAAAAAATTAAGAGTCCCTCCAGAACTGCAAGCACTATCTCAAGCAAATATTGACAATTTATTCACACTGTCATTACTTGCAGCAATAGCCGATGTAGCAAAGCAACCAAGTTGGGGGGGGGGGGTGTTGAATGCTCTCATTAAGGAGGCCAGACTTGGTGGAGGTGGTTGACAGGGGGAGCTGCAGGCTATTGAAGGCTGCTCTGCCTCCTGCTGTGCTCTTTGCTTCAGCGTGAGCTAGGAGGCAGGTTTCAACCCCCCCCCGAAATTTTCAACCCCCCCCCCCTGAAATTTTCAAAACTCCCCCACCCCCTGAAATTTTCAACCCTCCTAAAAATTTTCTGGCTACGGCCCTGGTAGCCATGCATACATATGTGAGAGGAAGTCAACATATGTGAGAGGAAGTCTTAGGGAGGAGGGGGCAAGCTTGTTTTCTGCTTCCCTTGAGACTAGGAAGCAGAACAATGGCTTCAAACTACAAGAAAGGCAATTCCGTCTGAACATTAGGAAGAAATTCCTGACTGTGAGAGTCGTTCAGCAGTGGAACTCTCTGCCCCCGAGTGTGGTGGAGGCTCCTTCTTTGGAGGCTTTTAAACAGAAGCTGGATGGCCATCTGTTGGGGATGTTTTGAATGCAATTTTCCTGCTTCTTGGCAGCGGACTGGATGGCCCATGAGGTCTCTTCCAACTCTATGATTCTAAAGAGAGGTCTCTCTCTTTGCAACTGGACAACTTCATGGCCTCACAAAACAACGCAACAAGAAGTCAGTCATATAGCAGAGCACCTGATGAACCAACCTGGGCACAGCATACTATTTGAAAGCACAGAAATGCTGGACCACTCCAACAACCACCGTGGCAGACTACACAAAGAAGCCAATAGATCAGTGGTTCTCAACCTGGGGTTGAATGGTTGGCAGTTTGAAGCCCAGATCGGGGTGAGCACCACACCTTCCGCCCAGCTCACTGTCCACCTAATAGATAGAGGACCTACACAGAGAAGTTTTGCTTTATTTTGGCTTTTCATTGCTCTCTTTTAATATTAATATGAAGTTCATGCTGTAATATGGAGTGTATAGTATTAGTTAGGGTTCCTTTTTTTAAAAAAAATTAATCCTTAAGCAACCAACCAGAAAAGGAACATGAAAGGCACTGCAGACTAGTTCAACCAGAGAAGTCAGCCATAGCAGAGCACCTGATGAACCAATTTGGACACAGCATATTATTTGAGAACGCACTCTAACAACCACCATGTCAGACTACACAGAGAAGCCATTGAAATTCACAAGAAGCACGTGGACAATTTCAACAGAAAGGAGGAAACCATGGAAATGAAGAAAATCTGGACACCACTATATAAAAACTCTAGAATCAGGACAGTAAATAAAGACCAACGCTTAAAAAAAACAGGGGAATTCCAGACAGGAAACAATCGGGGCCAGCTAACACCTCCCAACAAAGGATTGCCCCAGCCAGGCTTCAAAGTTGCAAGGATATTCAATGCTAATTAAGGTGGCCAATTGCAGCATTCACACTTGCCTCCAACAGACAAGAGTTCCTTCTCTCACCCTGGACGTTCCACAGAAATGAACAAAATCTAGCTGCCAGCATTAAAAAACACACTCTAGAATCAGGGCAGTAAATAAAGTGCAAGACTAAAAAAAACCAGGAGAATTCTAGACAAGAATAAATCAGGGACAGGTAACACTTCCCAAGAAAGGATTCCCCAAGCAGCAACAAGTCAGGCCTTGACGTTGCGAGGCCATTAAATGCTAATCAAGCTGGTCATTTGCAACATTCACGCTTGCCTCAAGCAGACAAAAGTTCTTTCTCCCACTCTAGACTTTATGCCACAGATATATAAACCCCTCTTGCCTCATTTCCAACAGAGCTCACAACCTCTGAGGATGCTGTGAGTTTTCTGGGCTGTATGCCCATATTCCAGGAGCAATCTCTCCTGATGTTTTGCCCACATCTACCAAATACCATGCAGCCTTGGACAAGTCTACATTGGGACCACCAAACATAGCATTGCCCAAACACGAATCAAGGAACATGAAAGGCACTGCAGAATAATTCAACCAGAGAAGCCAGCCATAGCAGAGCACGGGATGAACCAGCTTGGACACAGCATATTGTCTGAGAAGACAGCAATGCTGGACCACTCTCACCATCACCATGACAGACTACACAGAGAAGCCATTGAAACCCACAAGCATGTGAAGAAACAATGAAAATGAACAATATAATTTATTTATTGGGTTGTGTGAGTTTTCTGAGCTGTATGGCCATGTTCCAGTAGCATTATCTCCTGACATTTCACCCACATTTATGGCAGGCATCCTCAGAGGTTGTGAAGTTTGTTGGAAACTAAATAAGTGATGTTTATATAACTGCGAAATGTCCCAGGTGGGGGAAAGAACTCTTGTCTGCTTGAGACAAGTTTGAATCTTGCAATTGGCCACCTTGATTAGCATTTAATGGCATGCAGTCTCAAGGCCTGGCTGAATCAAGCATATTATTTGAGAACACAGAAATGCTGGACCATTCTAACAACTACCATGTCAGGCTACACAGAGAAGCTATTGAAATATACAAGCATGTGGACAATTTCAACAGAAAGGAGGAAACCATGGAAATGAACAAAATCTGGCTACCAGTATTTTTTTAAAACCCTCTAAAATCAAGAGCAATACTAAAAAAAAAAAAACCAGGGGAATTCCAGACAGGAAACTATCAGGGCCAGCTAACACCTTCCAACAAAGGATCCCCAGGCAGCAACTAGCCAGGCTTTGAAACTGCGAGGCGATTAGCTACTAATCAAGGTGGCCAATTGCAACATTCACACTTGCTTCACACAGACAAGAATTCTTTCTCCCACCTGGACATTCCAGGGTTTCCAACAGTCCTCACAATCTCAGAGGATGCCTGCCATAGATGCAGGCAAAACATCAGGAGAGAATGCTTCTGGAACATGGCCAGACTCACAGCAATCCAAAACATATAATATGATAGAAAGTTTCCCATGTATACCACAGTAATATACATTTATATTATCCTGGGCACACAGAAAACTGGGCGACTTGGAAGGTGCTGAACAGACTGCGCTCTGACACCATGAGATGCAGAGCCAACCTTAAGAAATGGGGCTACAAAGTGGAATCCTCGACATGCAAGTGTGGAGAAGAGCAAACCACAAATCACCTGCTGCAATGCAACCTGAGCCCTGCTACATGCACAATGGAGGACCTTCTTATAGCAACACCAGAGGCACTCCAAGTGGCCAGATACTGGTCAAAGGACATTTAATCAACTACCAAGTTTGCAAACTTTGTGTCTTGTTTGTTTGTTTGTTAAAAAATGCAATACAACTGTTTGGTTTGCTCCTGACACGATAAATAAATAAGCGATATATGGGCATGTATATGTGCCTTCAAGTCACTTGTCAACATATGGAGACTTCATGAATACCATTGAAATATACCTTGTAGGACCTAGTTTTTGATAGCAAACTCTCATCCAAGTACTAACCAGGGCTGATTATGCTTAGCTTTCAAGATACATGGGCTCCAGTACCTGTAGGGCAGTGTTTCTCAACCTGGGGGTCGGGACCCCTGGGGGGGTCGCGAGAGGGTTTCAGAGGGTTCACCAAAGACCATCCGAAAACATATTTCTGATGTTCTTAGGAATCCCTTTGGCATAGTCATTTGGATTCATAGTGCTCTGTGGATGTAGGTGAACTACATCTCCGCTAAATCACAGTCAATTCATCCCAGATCCCTCCAGAATTTT